TTGAGGGAAACAGAAGGTGCTGTACATATTTCTTACCCACTTCAGTCTCCAGTGAGCAGAGTTCCTTGATGGCATTGCAGGCCACCTGGGCTTCCCTCACATGCAGATTCCACTTAGTTGATCAGAGCTGAGGCCTGAGACTCCGCTTGTCTAACCTACTTCAGCGACTATTGATTCTCTGGTGCTTGGCACACTACCAGTCGTCCTGCCCTGTCTTCTCTCTGCCCATGGTAGCCTATCCTCAAGGCTGCCTTGTCATGCCTCCTTCCCCTCCTGCAGGCCTCCATTTCCAGGCAGTTCTCTTTCATTAGAGCAGGTGTTCTGGACAGTCTCATGTGTAAGTTCATCATTGGGAAGAGTTAGGAGAAAAAACAGGATTCCTCACTGTTTTTTCCTCCCTGTAATGGCAAGCATAAATATATAAAGTTGTTTTAAGAATGGACTTGTGCCACTTCGACAGCACCTATACTAAAACTGGAAGGAATGGACCTTAGCCCTTCCTTACTTTCTTTTCCTTCCTTCCCTCCCTTCTTCCTTTCTTTTACCTTCTCCCTTTCTTTTTTAAGTGGCACTGGGAATTACATCCACAGACTTAACACTGAGCTGTGCCTTCAGACCTTTTTTATTTTTTAATTTTTGAGATAGGATCCCACTGAATTGCCCAGGCTGGCCTCTAAAATTTGCAGTACTCCTGCCTCAGCCTCCCGGAATACTAGGATTACAGTGTGTACCACCATGCCTGGCTGATACTTGTTTTTATAAGACATCCCTGTTTTCCTATTATTTCTCTGAAAAAGAAAGAATAAGGCAGGACTGTGATAGACAAGCATCTGGGCTTCAAAGTCATGTGGATTGCAGTTCAAATTCCATTTCTTCTACGTAGATGAGTTCTGACTTTGAACATGTGCTGTGGGACATCACAGAGACGTGACTAAGAAATGGTGTGAATCTGCAATAGGGCTAGGGAGGAAGGGCAGAAGGGCCTCAGTGCCTCAGTTTGTCCAAACATCTGTGGCTCAGATTGCCAGAACAGTGCCTTGAAAGAAAGGGTCTAGTCTGTGTCTCAAGAAAGTTGGTTGTTTGAGGGCTGGACACTTGCTTTACCCTGAAAGGGATGGTGTCACAAGCTCATCCTGGCCCTTACAGATGTCAGCCAGCTAGTACAGTACTTAGGGTCCTGTCCTGAGGAGAAGCCTATACTTTGATGAAATAATTCAGTGCAACTATTGTTGAGAATTCAATTTCATAAAGTAAAATGCTACCCTTTTGAGAGATGGCAGAGGTATACATTTATAAGATTCCTTCCTCCAGAACTAAGCATTGTAAATCCCCAAGTATCTTTGATTCAGCTTTGACTCAAAGTAAGATGAGACCAAAGATTACCAGTTTCTGAGCAGCAACTCTAAAAGGACCCAGATGCCTTTGAGAATGCAGATCCCTAAGTCAGCAAATTATCTTCTTAGATACGTAAAGTAGACTGAGTATTGATATGCCTACTATTCCATTCATCTTAAATGGAATCTGTTTATTTTGTGCTTTGTCATCATCAAATTGACAGTCTAAGTTTTTATTAAGTAGATAAGTAATGAAAGATTTATTTTAATAGCTCCAAGGACTATTGACTTTCTGAGGCTATAACTGTTTGTCATTGGAAACTACTTGTTCAAATGTTTGCTATAAGAAACTGTTTCTAAACTCTGTTATAAAAGGTTGATTTATGCTGCGACCTTGGGTACCCATCACCTCCTGGATCTAGCTCTGATTAATTCACACAGTTTGAATGGCTCCTCAAAGAGCCTCAGAAATAGGAATATAGCTAAAAGCATTCAGTGGCACAGAAAGATTATTATTCTACTAAAATGAATAAATGTTGCTAACAATTAACTTTCAAACATGAAGCAGAATCTCAAATTTTTTGTGTGTGACACACATTCAGCTCTTCAGGAAGTCTTTCTCTTCCTTGACCCTTTGTCTCTTCCGCCTGATTCTCTGACATCTGTCACTGTGTAACAAATTACCCCAAGGCCTGGCCTCTTGAAGAACAGGCTTGCATCATCTCATCTCAGTTTCTGTCAGGAATCGGTGCAGCTTTTCGGGGTCCTTTAGCCCCAGAGTCTCCTAAGGCTACGGTCAAGGAGTCAGCTGGGGCTTTGATCTCTTTTGAACACACTCGATGTGGGGGAGGGGACCCTCTTCCAGACCCACTCACACAGTTGTCCGCAGGATGCAGTTCCTTTCTTGTGGGCCGATGTGGGGAACTCTAAGCGGATCCAGATGACTTTGAGGATGCAGATCCCTACATTAACAAGTTATCTTATTAGATACATAAAGTAGATTGAGTATTGATGTACCTACTGCCATTCATTTTAGATTAAATCTGTTTATCTTGTGCTTTGTCATCATCAAATTGACAGTCTAAGTGGCTTCCCTCTGTTCCTTGCCATGCTGGCCACCCCATGAGGCTGTTTATGTGACAGCTTTTAATCTGTAGAGCAAGGAATATGAATGCAGGTTTGGGTCATGGTCTTTTTCTAGCCTGTTTTGTGGAGGGACCTCCCATCACTGTATTCTGTTTACTGGAAGCAGGTCACTTGGTCTAACCCACACTCAGGGTTGCACAAGGATATAAGTATCATCAGGGAGGATCTTTGGGGCCATCATAGTTTTTCTGCCACACATAGTACAGGCTGGGGGAATGTGAGCTACACCCTCCAGTAGTGCCTGGTTGCCATCCTTGCACACCAGGGTTTCCAGCATTCCTCATTCATAGTAAACCCTGGTGGGTGACTTGACTGATCAAGGACTGATGGCTTTGTATCATTTGTTCTACAAAGTATGTAAAGGTGTTTTGTTCACTTTTTTGTTTGTTCATTTTGTTTGGTTTTAACTTCTGAAAAGGAAATAAAGAAAAGAATGATGGGCTGAAGCCAGAGGTCTGGTTTTAAAGTGATAGTAATCTTGTGGGGTGGTGGGTAGGTGGTGGTAGAATTTAATTTAAAAAGGCTCCACCCTGCATTCAGATGTCGGAGTACTCATCACAGTGTCAGGAAAGCCTTCCCTAGCCATCTAATTTAAACTAGCTCCTGCTTCCCTCTGGAGCCCAGAGAACTCTTTCACTCAATTCCCTGCCTGTTTACTTGTTTATTATCTCTCTTGCCAAAAGAACTCATTGCCCGGAGAGCAGAGACCTCTTCTATTTGGGTTATCCACATATTACCAACACTTCATATGGGGCCTGGCAAGTACATGGACATGGGGAGCTTTTTGGAAATTGTAATATGGTTGTGACCTCCAAAAAAATGGCATGTATTCTATTAATATACATAATACATTATTTTTTAAAAAAAGCACCAGACTCAGATTATAGGGTAGTTTTGTCCCTGCACTAAGGCCTAAAGGGCCAGCTATTCAACAAGTCACATCACATCTCTAGGCCTGTTTCCTCAGAAGATAAATAGAGGACTGAAGATCAGGGCCCTTGAACTATGCTCCATCACCAGGCCCCACCTGGTAATGAAAGTCCCAGGCCCTGCTACATAAAGGCATCTCTGATTTTATGTTCTCAGTGTTGGCCTGCCACTGGAGTTTGTTTAAAGAAAGGATTCTGTGCCAAAACAATGTTTGAAACTTGCAGGTCTTCCATACCCACTTGCGGCCATGCCAACTCTGTAGAAACAGATACCTGTGGCAGTTGTGGTGTGTAAGAGTAGAGACCCAAGGCCTCAGAAGCTTCAGCCCAACAGAATCAACTGGAAGAACAATGCAGGTGATTTCAGTTGAGACCTAGAGAGAACCCTTCCAAAAACATAAAGAATCCTGTCCCAAAGTTTGGGCAACCGCTACTAAGTCAGATAAGAAAAATAAATTCTGATGTTCTGTTGTATAATAGAGTAACTATAGGTATCAGTAATGGATCATGTACTTCAAGAAACTAGGAAAAGCAATTTTGAATGTTTTCACCCTAAAGAAAGATGTTTATAACTATAGATATGGTTACCCTGATTTGAACATTATGCAGTGTATATATGTATAAAAATATCACATAGTACCCTGTAAAATTGTTCTGTTTTTGTATCAGTGAAAAAAATTTTTAAAAGATGAGAAGTTCCTAAAAACCAAAAGCAAAAGCATGGTGACTAAGTTTCATAATAGTGTATTATATACTTAAAATTTGCTAAGAGAGTGGATGTTTTCTCGCCACCCACACACAAAAGGTAAAGCTATGTGAGGTGATGGGTATGTTAATTAATTTGGCTGTGGTAATCATTTCACAACATATACAAATGCCGAGACATTGTGTTGTACATTTAAATATATACTTTTTTTTTGGTTAATTTTACCTCAGTGAAACTGGGGAAGAAAAAATTTTCTTTCCCTACACCTAGCCTCACCATGCTGATGCCTACCTCCTGCTGCTTTTCAGATGTTAGCCTCGATTTTTCTTTTTTTTTTTTCATATTCACTTACTCACTTATAGATTTCACTTCTGGCACTAAATTTCCTACCAGATAGCCAGCACTTTGAGCACCAAGTTTTATAATTAAAATTCTGTCACATCCCCCAAAACAGTGCAAATGGTGCCATTAAGCCTGGCAGAAAAGATTCGTAAGCACTTCACCTCGTAATTTAAATATAATATTCCTGGCAGCATTCAATTTGGGGTATTTTTAATTCTAATTAGAACACTATTACTGAACATTAATATCCTCTATATGGTACTGTTGTGCTTTGGCTTGGCTGTCTGGCTTTTAAACAAACAGCTTGGTTGCATGGTTGAAGAAGCCCACATGGTTTCTTGTGGCCTTTGGGAATCACCAGTCCCAGGCATAATTAGTATAAATCAAAATCCTCTACACTATGACAGGGAAATTGTATGTTTGAACAGCAGCTTATTAAAATCACCTACTTAATTTAAGGAAAATATTGTATCTACTTGCGTGGTAACCTGGATATCTTCCCTGACTCATTTCTCTCTCTCTCTCTCTCTGTCTCTCTCTCAGAAGAGGAAAGGGAATGGAAAGGCCCGTTCTACTTTATCCAAGGTGCAGACCCACAGTTTGGGCTGATGAAGGCCTGGTCCACCGGGGACTGTGACCATGGAGGTGACGAATGGGGCCAGGAAATCCGTCTCACTGAGCAAGCTGTTCAGGCCATCAACAAACTGAACCCCAAACCCAAATTCTTTGTTCTGTGCGGCGACCTCATCCATGCCATGCCAGGTAAGATCGGGGCTGTCATTCATGACCTTTCCTCCTTTACACAGTCATGACTATGTGGAGGCCAGAAAAAAAATGCTCTCGGTCCATACACATCTCTGTTTGGTAACGGCTCATTCCTTCTCCTCAAAACTATTGTAGTATCACTGAGCATCAGAAAATGCACTCATTTTATATTTAGAATGTAGCAAGATTAATCACAGTAATTAGACTGAGCTACAGTTCTGATTATCTGAGTTTAATATGAAAAATGGACCAAATTCCCCCATGTCACATTTTTACATTTCCAGGAACTAACTTGAACTGTTTCCAGATAGCATGCTCATAAATGTAGTCTTCTCCCTTCTCCCTTCTTACACTTTTATTTCTCCCATATTTGTTGATCCTTTGCCCAATTGCAAGTTAAAGAAGTCCAAGTTAAACTGGCTTCCCTTTTGTTTTAAAGGTACACATTGCCTCATGGGACTGTAAAGTTCAGAGAATGATCTGGGCTTTAGGTACAATTGAATATAAGAGCTCAGAGGTTGTTGTCAGGACTTGGTCTGTCATTCACCTCTGATTTCCTCTGATTTGCATACACATTCTCTCTAATGGCTCTTAGAGGTTGTAAGTTTATATCCTTTTTAAAAAATTTCCCTAGCTGGGCATGGTGGCACATGCCTGTAATCCTAGCACTCAGAAGGTGGAGGCAGAAGGATTGCTGTGAGTTTGAGGCCCGCCTGGACTACACAGTGAGACCTGTCTCAAAAAAAAAAAAAAAAAAAAAAAACCACAAAAAACTCAACAAAAGAAAATGTAATGAGAGTCAGGGGCTCATGTGGCCCCTAAAGCCAGACTGGGCTGTGAGGTCAGCCCTGCTTTAACCACATGGTCTTCTGAAGAATAGGAAGGTTTCTCTAAAGAAAAGTAAGATGCCAGAAATGAAAAAACAACAATTAACAGATATCTTTTGGGACTGCGTTCCCTTTTTCTTTTCCTTTATTCTCTGACATCTTTTTCTTCCGGGCAGGGCTTAAGCCTTGTGAACAAGTATAAGCAAGTAGAAAGTATCCTCACCCACCATGGAGGCAGAGCTGGGTCCCCTGGCCTCTGCCCCTTCCTTATGTCCATATCTCTTTTTAGTGGAAGAGATGACCTGAAGATCATGCCAGAAACTTCAGCAGTGGCTGTGAATATTTGTTTTGGGATAACTTTGCTTGTGAACTGGGACCTGCCATGATTTCTATTTCCTCTGGAAGCCAAAGCACTCTATAGGAAACCTGGGTGCATCAGTTTATACTCATAAGGCTCCTTTGTTAGCAGCCTTTCTGTCCAGAACAAAACCCAGAGATAGGCTGTGAGAATGGAGAAGAGGCAGCCAGAATTTTCCTCTCCAAAGTGCAAGGAATGTAACCAGCAGGGAGAACCCTCATTCTCCATTTACTTGTATTTTACACCAAGTTTCGCATGTGGACCTGACCATAGTCTTGACTCTACACAGTAGAACCCAGAGATACCACATCCCTAGGGTAGCGCCTGTCCTAGAGGAAAAAAGGAACAGAAGTCAGTAAACAAAGCCAAGTCAGAACCTAGGGCTGCCAGCCCTACCATGTGCTACTGATGTATGTGTGAATGCAGATAAACCCCTTATCTTCTTAGGACCCCAGTTTCTGAGCCAAGAACCAATGGAAGCAGCAAGAATTTAAAATCTCAACTGTTGGGGGCTACACGGTACAGAGATCACACTTCCATACCTCTGTAGTAAAGGTTACCATCCCAGAGGTTCTGTACAGAAGAACATTTGCAAGGGTGGTCCTGAGTTTGTCTTGTAGAGAGGCAAAGTCTTAGCTGCTGGTAAAGTCTTAGCTGCTTGTAAACTTGCCCACCCTCAGTGACTTGTGGCCTAGAGTGTGGCCAAAATCCTGCACAGGAACTGTCTGCAATTCCTCAGCTTCTGAAGGAGTTGGAAATCACAGAAGACTAAGCTTCCTCAGAGAAACCAAGGCAATATGTTAGTTGATCAGATTATTGCTACTTTCAAGTGGTTTCATTTTGCAGTTAGCTGATTTCTTTGGGATATGACCCTAAATGCATATTGGCAAGTACTGTCACTCTGGACCACACAGCAAAATTTCTGCTTCTATTGGACTCTTGAACATAAGATTTCAAATTTAACCATTACTGTGTTATGTCCAGTCATTTCTTTAAAACAGACTCATATGGAGCTCGCTGGGATTATGTAACATGTTCTTGTAGCTGTTTACCGATTTGTTCTGAGTTATGTTAATGTATTCACTCATATTTCAAAATCAGACTTAAAATAAAAACTTTCCTTGCAATTACATTTCCTCTGAAAATATACTGAACATAAGTAAATAAAACATACAGTTTTTATGATCAGTCCCACCCGTTGGTCAAAAGATGTTGTAAATGTGAACTGGCAAATTTCGAACATACATTTCATATTCAGTGAGAGTGGAACAAAATTCATAATCTCTTCTGAAGATTTGGACTGTTGGGTTTTCACTGAGCTAGTGAGAGGACTGTAACTGTTCAGAATATTGTGGTCTGAGAGTAAACAGAATGTTTTTTAAAACTACTTATCATTTTTTAATATGCAATAAGTGGCTTCTCTCTCATTTAGCTCAGATGGAGGGGCAGACACTAGAAAAGTAATTATTTGCTTTGACTGCTTAGCACATTGTTAATTATCAACTGCATATATTGATAGGCAAATAAAATAAAAAAGCTTACTTTTAATTCTACTGTAAATATCTTGGACCAAGTTGATTTAAGTTTAGAATGAAGCAAAAGAACTTTCAGAATAATGTTTTATTTGTTTGTTTGTTTGTTTGTTTTTGTCTTTTTGAGATAGGGTTTCACTATGCAGTTCAGGCTGTCCTTGAACTTACTTTGTAGCCCAGGCTGGCCTCAAATTCAAGTGATCCTCCTGCCTGAGTCTCTTGAGTGCTGAGATTACAGGTGTGGCTTACCATGTCCAACCAAAGTAATGCTTTTTTAAATGAAAGTAATAATATGCTTTTCCATTATTTCATCATAATGTTCATCATAATATTCGTTCATCCACAAATATTCATTGTGTGTAAAGTGCCAATTACAGAGGTAGATGTTGTAGCAATAATAGTGGAAATCAGAGACCAGGTCCTTCTTTGGAGCTTGAGCTTAGCAAGGGAAGCACAGAAATGATGGAAAGAAGAGTGACTAGTGCCAAGGCCCACAGGGACAGCCCTAAGAAATTCAATATCCTTTGTTTTGGACAAAGTCCATTTGTTTTGAAACACATGTTTTTTATCCTGCCGACATTTTTGTGGTCATCTAGGTATTTTCTTATTTTATAATGCTTCCCTATGGGATTCGCTATATTAAAAGCAGCAAATGAAGATCTGTACAAATATGGAGACCATTGATTTTCAATCCTTCACTCTTAAGCCTGGGGTTACTTTTGTTGGTCCTACTGACGTTGAGGCATCGACCCACGGATACTGTCCCCAGGAGCCTTGTTAGATTCCAGTTGTTACGTGTGGAGCTGACAAATCAAGATGTGATGGTACAATTAGGGAGCAAGAGAGTGCTATATGCCAAACTCATATCTGTCCAACCCTGTTCATTAAAAACTACTGTAAACTAAACATGATGATAAGGATTGAGTTCATCCCTTGAGGTAAAGTTGCCCAGAAGAGTCCTTTGTATTGCCTGCACTTGGAGAATGATGGAGTGATTTAGTTTCAAGTGGTGATGTTGCCTCACATTCTCCCCTATTCTTTAAAGGAGGCAAGCCCACATTGGCATTATTCATTAGATTGTGTATTTGTTTCTTGTAACTGTTATAGCAGCTTACAGCAACTCACATGTAGTCTCTTAAAGTTTTGGAGGCCCAGGAGTCCCAACATGAATCTGCAGGGATGTGTGCTTTCTGGAGGTTCCAGCATCTTTTAGAGATTCCATTCTTGGCTTCTGGTCTCTTCCTCCACTGTTAAAGCAAGTGACACAGCATCCTCTCTCCTGTCTGACCTCTGTTCCATCTTCTCACACTCTATTGCTGTGACTGTCCTACTTCCCTGCTGTACAGACCCTTAGCACTACCCAGGATCATCTCTCCAGCTCAACATGTTAACTAAATTCCCCTTTTGCTTTGGAAGGAAACATTCAGAAATTTTGGGAATTACATTTGGGCATCTTAGTGGGGAAGAGCATTATTCAGCCCACCACAGGTATCAGCACAGCATAGACAGAATTAAGGGGATTTGGGAATTTATTACCTACCAGGATCTGTGCCTTTAGCTCACCTGCTCATGACAGTCTTGCAAAGGAGATGTTGTTATTTTTAATTGACGGGAAAACTGGCTTACAGTCCTAGATGTAATGGACTCAAGTTCATGTGTTTCCAGTCTTTATGCACTTCCTGCACAGCCTTGTTACTCAAAAGGTGGCCCCGGAGCAACAATAGCTAGAGCTTGTTAGAAACACAGAATCTCTGCCCACTCAGAACTGGCAGGTCAGAATCAGCATCTTTATGGATTTCCCTGGGTGAACCTTATGGCCTATAAAGTTTGAAAAGCAGTTGCTAGACTAAAATGCATAGGGGCCCTATGTTTGCTTTTTGTTTTGTTGTTTTGACTTTTCAGCATATATATGTAATTTTTTGTGTTTGCCAATAGTTTATGAAAATTCCTTTTAAGCATTAAAGTTGATAATATTTAGTAAAAGGTGAAAGATTTATATGACCTGAGGAGTACATAATTCTTTTTTCTTTTCATACCGGGTATCGAACTCAGGACCTTCTGCTTGCCAGGCAGGGTCTTATACTACTGAGCTGTATCTCCAGCCCTATGATCTGAAGAGAAATCAGAGTAAAGTTAATGACATTTATCAAAAGAACTATCATGCATTTAGGCTTACAGGCAGCTTCCAAAGGAAGTACTTTTTAAGTTTATAGATTTTGTTTTGCTTCTTAAACAGATTGAATTACTGAAGCAGGCTTCCCTCTCTTATAGAACCATCCA